TTCCTAAACTCTGAGTCATCAGTGGGGTGAGTAATTGAATAATGTTGTGCTGGGCCTGCCTTGATCATGATTCATATGTGGCTGTAAGAAACCCAGGGGTGGAACTGGGGTGCTTGAAGCAGGCGGTGAGGCAAACGTGTTGAACTCTCAGAAGTTCAGAACTGATGCCAATATGCAGGATCTTTTTAGTCATGCGGATGGAATTCTCCAGGAATTTTCTTTAAAGTTATTATAATGTTGTTGTTTTTTTAAAAAAATTAAACTGGAACCCTTCTCTCTCTGCCTTATGGTCCGAAGTGAGAAGTCATTATACCTTTTCTGAAGCAGAAACGTTCTTTTCTTTTTCCCTTTTTAAATGCAACTTTGTTAAGTTTCAAAAAAAAAAAAAGAAGAAAAGAGATACAAATCAACAAAAAGAAAAAAGATTTTTTTTTTAAAAAAAAGGTCATTCTTTGCGATGCTTCTATAGTTTTATTAAGGTGTGTAATTTACTTGCTGTAATGATATCGTAGATCAGGGGAAAAGATGCTGCCTAGGAAACAAAGAGAGAGGGACACCTCCCATTGGCTTAAAGTTCAGAGAAAGAAACTTAGGAATGACCTTGTCAAGCGCCGGATAGCTGACATCTGTAGGGCAGCGATGTGGTCATCACCTTCCCCTTTCATCCATCATTATAAGCTCGACAAATTTGCTTCTGCAGAGGCCTCTTTTGGCCGCCGGGTCTTACAACAGATGGTCCAATCCGGGCCCGACACTTGACCGGTCTGCGTCCCACCCATGGGGTCATATGGCTTTGGTATGTCCCATGCGTGGATTCTACATTCCTTCCATGCTGGAGAAGGGGCGTTGTCTTACCTGAACGCCTTTTCTCAGCATGAGGAATGTAGAATCCACTCCCTCCCTCTCAATTCCGCAGTCAAGTCAGTGTCAGCAGTCCGGGAGCCAACACGTCACACAATCATTGGCTTCGCCCTTTTTGAAACTGGGGCATGGTCCGGCCCAGCAGAGGCGTGGCAACTTTGATTCTTTGGTCTGATTGGGCTAGAGGACTTCTAATACCCGTGTGTGGATTCTACATTCCTCATGCTGAGAAAAGGTGTTCAGGTAAGACAACGCCCCATTCAGGCAGTTCGCACGTAAAGATTTATTGCAAGCTCGAGCTTTCTACAAGAATCGGACCAACTAACGGTCAAGGGAAATAAGCGGGAGATAAGAAAGACATTCAAGGTGGTCTGGACTTAGATCTCTTGTGGTCGTGCAAGGTCTCATGACTTAGGACGCATTTGACCCCTCCCTGGGGCTTAGCTTGGTCATCTCATATAGACCTGCCCTAATTGATCAGATGGCTGAAAGTGGTGACCTTGGGGGAAGATAGAAATAGATGCTGCCTGGAAAACAACCAGCTAAAAGTGGGAAGAGCCTCCAATCGCCTAACAATCAGAGGAAAAGACTTAGGAAAGATCTTCTCTAATGGATGAGACAGTTAAAAGTAGCCCGGGGAAGTTTGTACTTTCAGACTTGCAAGATTCCATTAATGTAGCCGTACCATAAAATAGATTTAGCTCCTCTAGTTGTATCTCCTGCCTGGTTAACATATCAAAGAGAAATTTATCATAGAGAGAAATCCAAGCTGGAACTCAGGAGAAATTTCCTTGACACCAAGAACAATATCTCAGGGGCTAAAGAAGAGGGAATTAAGCTATTCTCCAAAGCACCTGAAGGCAGGACAAGAAGCAACGGGTGGAAACTAATCAAGGAGAGAAGCAACCTAGAACTAAGGAGAAACTTCCTGACAGTGAGAACAATTCATCAGTGGAACAGCCTGCCTCCAGAAGCAGTAAATGCTCCAACACTGGAAGTTTTTAAGAAGAGACTGGACAGCCATTTGTCCGAAATGGTGTAGGGTTTCCTGCCTGAGCAGGAGGTTGGACTAGATGACCTCCAAGGTCCCTTCCAACTTTACTACTATTACATATGCAGTGCAGTTTATAATAAATCAGTGGAAAATGTGAGTGCTCCATCACTGGAGGCTTTCAAGAAGAGATTGGACAATCATTTGACCAGGATGGTAAAAGGTCTCCTGCCTTAAGAAAGGGGCTGGACTAGAAGACCTCTGAGGTCCCTTCCAACTCTGTCATTCTGTATTATGGTTTTACCTGGGAAGACTGAACTTAAGATGATATTGGACCCACCCACCACTTAGTTAATGCTGAATTTTTCAGTAAGCCATGGAATAGCTAAACCATGGCTTAGCAGCATTTATGAACCCAATCAATGCTTCGAAACAAGTTGGCATATTGCCTGTCAACCTTCAAAAAAAAATTTTTTTTAAAGCAAGGATGATGCTTATAATAATCTCTTTGGATGAGAAAACTAATGTTGACAGATTTGGTAATTTACGGCAGAAATCTCTTGTTGAAATATGCTTTGGCTTATGCACTAACGAAGATTGGTGCAGTAATACAGATGGGTATAATTCTTCACAAATGAAACAGATGCTTCCTTTAGAAGTTCAAAATGCTGTATAAATAGCTGCAAAAGACCAGGGGAAAGAGTAGAAAGAAAGAAAAAAGACAAGATAATAAAAACCTAAAAAATAAATAAATAGAAACAATCTGCAGTGCGTGAAAGCTTAGCATGAATTTATAGAATCGTCCTATGGAATTGCATCAAAATCCATTGAATTCCAATATCTTGGACTTCAACTTACCAACCATACCTCTCTGTTCTCTAGCAAATCCAAGTCAACCTTCAAAATGAAAGTACTGTAAATGCATTAATTTGGGAGGATGAAATAATTATCTTTTAGCTTGTAAGACAGAGAACAGTAATGGGATATCTTACACAAAATCTGGTTCCTGAAGATAATTGTTTAATTTGGGGGGGAGGGGAATTATGGAAACATTCCCTATAGACAAGGGTTTCTTAACCTTAGCCTCTTTAGGACATGTGGACTTCAACTCCCAGAATTCCCCTGGATGGCCTTGCTGTTCAGTTGTATGTTCTCCATGGTCTGCCCTCCAAGTGCTTTAGAAGGCTGTTAGTGAACAATATGGCTTTCTTCTTCCTTCTCCACTGAACGTGCCCTAACGCTCACTTCATTCATAAGTGAGGTTCATTGTAAATGACGTTGACCCCGTAGCATATATTTTCACCCGCTGGGAAGCTCAGACCTCTTGGAAGAAAAAAAAAAAAAAACAAAGGAAGAAGAACAGGAACGTTAAGATCCAAGTTCTGTCTGAGGTGCAATCTAATAATATTGGCGCTTGGGAAACCTGAGGTCTAGAAACATCCCTTCTCCTCTTCCTTGGCACGTGAGACTCTGTGCTTGAGTTTGTGAATGATGGTTTCTAGGAGGGGCATCTCAGCCACTGAACAGTTTATTGCACCATTGATTAGTATTCTGCCCGGTGGCTTTCTCCCTCCTTTGGAATTGTCTTGTAGGCGCTGCCTGGCAACCACAGTGTGAACATACAACATTAGCTACCTTAGAGAGTGCAAGCATGCTGCTAGCAGGCAACCACCAACTTCATCGCCCGCGTTCTGCAAACACAAGGAGCACAGCAGCTAATTTAAAAAAAAGAGGAGGAAAAAACTTCTGCTTGAATGGCTCTGAAGGATCTTGAGAACATTCAGCAAACTTGAACACCCTGGATCTAAGGTTTGCTCCCGCTGTCTGTGTTCTCCACGTTTGCTCCTCCCCCTTGGAAAGGCATGAATACTCAACAGCTTTGTTGACTCTTTCATGCTTTCGGATTTTCTATGTCCAAATGCAAAATAAATAGTATGCTGGAGCCTATAGGACTTTTGCATTATGGTGGCATTGTAGTGGGCGTGGGTAACCCTCAGGAAACATCTCTTTCTGGAGTTGGTTCTGATATGAGGTTAGGAAACATTTAGTGCAATGTTTCTCAACCATAGCAATTTCAGGATGTCTGGATGTCAACTTCCAGCATGCTGGCTGGGGAATTCTGGGAGCCTTAAAATTGCTGGGGTTGGGGAAAAAAAAAACCAAATTAGCAGGAGGGAGCTGGTGCGTCAAGATCTGTCTCTTACTAAGATGACCATTGGGCTTGTAGATGATTATATGAAGCTTGCTTGCTTCCTTCTGCATTTGCTGACCCAACATGGGAACTGAGAGATGAGGACGTGGTTAGAGAGAAGCCATAATGTTGGGTTTATTTGATGCATTGAATGAAACTAGCCATTGTTGGTTTGTGAACTGTAACGTCGTTGCCTTGTTGTTGAATCCATTGAACGATGGTATATTCAACAAAGTTTGATTAGTTTAGTTTGATTAGCAGAAATGACAGTGCAGAATTGCTAGAATCAAACAGGATTCTGCTTAGCTAGCAAGAACTGTAATATACGAGCCTATAAGAATATCTAAAGTTAAGGATTTTTTCCAGGTGGTAGATTTCTGGTTGAACCCACGTATGAAGACCTATAAAAAGCCGGACTTCCAAGAAGAGGCATTAAATTGTACTTGATTAAATACAAAGTATGTGAAATTATTTTTGTATCAAGCTCATTAGTTCCATTTTATTTTCTGGTCTCCAATAGGTGACCTTCTTATTTCCTGCTTCATTTGGAAAATGTAAGAGATTTAATCTTCTGTGATACAAATCATGAATTTAGCAATGTCCTCTTCCCATAGATGTCTCTTCTCTTCTCTTCTCTTCTCTTCTCTTCTCTTCTCTTCTCTTCTCTTCTCTTCTCTTCTCTTCTCCTTCCTTCTTTCCTTCCTTCCCATTCCTATTGCTGTGAATTCCACCATTCCCATTTATTTCTGACATATGGAGGGTTGGTACCAAGTAACCAAAGGTGAAAATAAGATAAGATAACCGCTGTTGTCAATTTTTTTTACTGTGGGCACACTCCAGTCTTACTGGTGCCACCTATATGCATGACATCATGCTTGTTATTTTTATGCTTCTTCTGCCTTCTGCATCTACCTAAGGAGGACATGGGACTAAATGTTATGGTTTTCTGTCTTTCAGAGCCTGGGATCGGCAGACAAGAAGGATTTGTACTCTTCAAAGTAAGTCTTACATTTTTCTCAATACATTTTCAACAAGGTGAATCCATTAATATGTGTCATCTAAGTGAGTTAAGCCTTATGTTTTTGGAGGTCACGTGATCCTGGATTTTGAATGCTTGCACGGGAAGAACATTAGCTTTACAACCAGTCAAAGCTTCTTCTGTTGTAGATCAGGGATATCCAACCTTGGCAGCTTTAAGACTAGTGGATTTCAACTCCCAGAATTCCCCAGCCACCCCTGATGTAGAAAGTGGAAACATGAGATATTATCTTAAGTAGATTTATTGCTTTGTTTTGGTGGGCACCAGTGAGAAGAAAGTTACTGCGTTTCATTCATTATTGTATACTGTTGCTTCTATACATATGTCATCAGGGAGCAATTTTGAAGAGTATTTTTCTATGCCGGGTCCCAGGGCAGTTATTCTGATTGATTAACAAGATGGCTTCTGAGTTCTTCTAAGTTGTAAGATGGTTCACGGCTTACCTCTATTGTTCAAATATGTAATCTATAAGGCAAATTATTTCTTGACTAGAAAAGGATGTGTAAGATGATATTCTTGGTATTTACGTAAAGCTGATGGGGTTGCCTCCCTCTAACACGACAGTATTTTCAGGTGGAATAATTGCATCCTTCTCTTAATAGTGTTGCTTGGCAAAGTTGGAAAATGGATACACAAACCCTTTCAAGTATTATGTCAACTTTGAAAATGAGCGTGGCTGCGGCCATCTTCCTTATTCATTTTCAGTTGACACATTGAAGGAAGGGAGGGCGGATTGCCATGTGCTTTGCTAGTCTAAATAAACCTTTGTCCCATGGGAACCAAGGTCATCGGCTGCTCCCGAGACTGCAGGCTGGGCGTTTTGTGAAGATATATTGGGCCAAGAATATATATTGGGGAACGTAGTTGCTTGCCTAGCTTTAGAGATAGGATTTCTTAACTTTATATTGGGGAATTGCTGCGTGTGTCTTCAGACATGGTTTCCCTTTTGACGTGCCGATACTTTGTAAACACGTTCTTTGAGAAATTTCCAAGCCTCGGAGTTCTGCTTTATTTGTCTGTCTGTCGGAACCGTGGCATTTTATCTGAATATTCTGAAAAACTCTGGCCCAATTCTGGTCTTCCTTCGAATTTCAATAGAATGCCCATCGAAGGACAACCCTCTGTATTTTTCCAAGAAAATAGATGTAGAAAGTATGCTATCCGGATCAGATGGATCTATTTTATTTCTCCTTTCTGACTGCCCAAAATTACAAAGGAGTTTATTTTATTTTATTTTTTTAATGTTTTTATTCATAATACAATTAAAACAACAATGGACAAACATGACATTCCAGAATGAATTTTCCTATCAATTCCTATCATGGTACAAAAGCTTAATACATCGTTCTTAACCTCTATATAAGCCTCATCTTCTATACAATACAATTATATATACAATTATATGTACAGTTATGTATATCTTTTAATTCTTCCATTAACTTGAAGTCCGAGCAGTTCTCCTTAATTCATACCAACGGTAAAATTTGCCCCAGATTTCGAAGTATTCGTGTTCTGTCTTGTCTTTCATAATCATTGTGAGCCTGTCCATCTCAGCACATGATAAAATTTTATGCAGGATCTCTTCTTCCGTTGGAGTTCCCTTATTCCTCCAATTTATTACAAAGGAGTTTATTGTGGGTCATTGGATGGGTTTTTAATATTCAGATGATGACTTTTCTCTGCAGACATCTAGGTTTTATTTGTTAGATCCTCACATAGTTCTGTATACAGGTAGCCCCCAACTTAAAAACAGTTCATTTCGTGACCGTTCTAAGTTACAACGGCAGTAACAAAAAGGGACTTATGACTGTTTTTCACACTTACAACTGGTGCAGCCTCCCCATGGCCATGTGATCAAAATTCAGACGCTTGGCAACTGGCTCATCTTTGTGACCGTTGCAGTGTCCTGGGGTCATGTGATCACCATTTGTGACCTTTTGACAAGCAAAGGCAATGGGGAAACCACTTAACCACCATGTTACTAACTTAAGAACTGCAGCGATTCGTTTAAAAACTGTGGTGAGAAAAGGTCATAAAACAGGGCAAAATTCACTTAACAAACGTCTCACTTAGCAACAAGAATTTGGGGGTTCAATTGTGGTCGTAAGCTGAGGACTACCTGTAGTTTAGAGGAAGAGCATCATGTGAAACAAGACATTTCTACCTACCTTTACTCAAGAGCCTTCCTTTGCTAGAAGTAACCGCAGGATGATTGGAAAAGGTTTGTAAACTGAGACAAAGAAACCAAGTTAAGACTCTTGTCATGTCTTGAGTTTTGTCACTATTTTAAAAGGAGCAATAAGCTACCTATACCGTACGTGTGAAGATAGAAGTGGGCCTGTGTGTCTTACTAACTGTTACCATCAGCGTAACCCAAAAGGCTGCGTGCGTCAGTGTCGAGCCTAAATCACAATTGAGATGATTTAAAATTTAGAACTGCTTGTCTATTTTGCTTCAGGGCACTTTGTAATTGCCGGTTGGGCAGAGGGGAGGGAAAGCTGTCATGGGAAATCTGCTCCCTCCATTAGGACCTTTGGCAGCAGGGATCCCTCAGAAGGCTAAGAGACACTGCCTTGAGTAACGTGGGGTAGATTAGTCAGCCTGGCATTTTTGCCAGAGCGTAAACCGGCTCCTAAGAGATGTGAAATTGCAAAGGTGCACAGTCAATGTTTAATGCCATTGCTATAAATTAAGGAAGCCCTTCTCTGAGCAGTCTTAACTCTTGCAAAACAAAAGTCTTCTCCTCTCTTGGTAGGTATATCTGGAATAAGTGCTCAAAGAGAGGTAGGTGGCAAACAAATTTTTCTCTTTTGTGTTCCTTCCACACACCCCACCCAGCACAATTTTTGGTTAAAATTGATCTGAATTGCTTTTGCTGGTCCATGATGGACATGCAGATTGGATTGGGTTGGGCTGTTGGATTGAGTTGTGTTGTGTTGGATTGAGTTAGGTTGGATTGGGCTGACTTGGGTTGGGCTGGGTTGGTTTGGTTTGGATTGCATTTATTTGGGTTGGATTGGATTGGGTTGGGGTAGACTGGATTGGATTGGGTTGGGTTGTTGGATTGAGTTGCATTGGGTTGGACTGAGTTAGGTTGGATTAGGATGACTTGGGTTAGGTTGGATTGGTGGGTTGGGTTAGGATGGGTTGGGTTGGGTTGGATTGCATTTATTTGGGTTGGATTGGATTGGGGAGACTGGATTGTATGGTGTTGGGTTGTTGGATTGAATTGCATTGGGTTGGACTGAGTCAGGTTGGATTGGGATGACTTGGGTTGAGTTGGGTTGGATAGGTGAGTTGGGTTAGGCTGGGTTGGATTGGATTGGGTTGGGTTAAGTTTCATTTACTTGGGTTAGATTGGATTGGACTGGAGTACACTAGATTGGATTGTTGGATTGAGTTGCATTGGGTTGGATTAGTTAGGTTGGATTGGGATGACTTGGGTTGGCTTGGCTTGGCTTGAATTGGATTGGGTTGGGTTGCATTTATTTTGGTTGGATTGGATTGGGTTGGGTTGATGGATTGAGTTGCATTGGGTTGGACTGAGTTAGGTTGGATTGGGCTGACTTGGATTGAATTGGATTGGATTTGTGGGTTGGGTTAGGCTGGGTTGGATTCGGTTGGGTTGGGTTCGGTTTCATTTACTTGGGTTGGATTGGATTGGGTTGGGTTGATGGTTTGATTGGATTGGTCGGAATTGCATAATCCAGCATTGGACTCTTGGAGGAAGGACCATCATTAGCCAAACCTGGTCATTAATCATGCATTTGAAATTTGTTAAGCCTTTGCCTTGGGAATCTGCCCTATGTTGGCTCTGCAAATAAAATGCCAGGATGCCTATGATCAAGTTAGCATTCTCCTCTTGTGGATCTGATGAGCTGTCCTTCTTCATTAGAACTGCTGGCCATAAAAAGAAGAATTCTGTATTTGTCATCTGAATTTCACTCATGAACTTTATCTTTACTTTTAAGCCTATACGTAGTCATCCTGTCTGTAGAAATGACCAACTTAAGCAGTGGTTGACCTTGGTGTACAATATCCTGCTATTTGCGTCTAGAAATATTACTGTCACTTGTCTGGTTCTAAACCAGATTGACCAGTTCCCTCCCAATTCTGGGCTCAGTAGTTCTCCAAATTAAACAGTGAGTTGTTGAAAGTGGATGGGTTTCTTTTTTTAAAAAAAATAAAACATTGGTGGTTCGATCTCCTGCATTAAGCAGAGAGAACGGCAAAGAGAAGGTACCAAGAATTTGTCAGGCTTGGACTTAGCCAGCGAGGAGCAGGAAAATTGCAGGCTTTCCCCCAAAATTTTTTTTTAAATTCAGTTTCAACAAAGGAAAAAAAATCAAACAAGAAAAACAGAGGGGTTAGAGAAAAGAAACTCAGGAGTGTTAGAGAAAAGAAACTCAGGAAAGAGAAGAAAAAAAACAGAAAGTGGAATGAAAGAATAACTTCCAACTTTCTTCAACACAGGTAGATCCCCAATACATAAACCTCTTGTAGGTAGTCCCCGTAAATGAGATCAGAATTTCTGTTGCTAAGCAAGATAGTTGTTAAGGGAGTTGTGCCTGATTTTATGACCTCGTTAACCAAATAATTGCAACTGATAGGGTTAGTTAAACAAATCCTGCTTTCCCCCCCCCCCCAGTGTCTTTCTTTGTCAGAAGCTGGCTGGAAAGGTCACCAAACAGCGATCACGTAAAGCTGGGATGTTGTAAATACAGTCTGGTTGCCAAGGGCCCAAATTGTGTGGATGTTGTGACGATTGGCTCATATTGAGGAGGGTTTACAGTGTCCTGGAGTCCCGTGTTCCCCTTTTGCGAACTTCTAACAAGCAGAGTCCACGCAAAGGGAAGCGAGATTCGCTTCCCAAACAGGTCACTGACTTCACGACCGCGTTGATTGGCTTAGCAACCGTGGTGAGAAAGGCCGTAAAACGATGCAAAAACCCACTTAACA